CATTTCACTGGACAATTGGAACACTGGACACTGGACAAATTTCCAATTGTCCGATTGTCCAGTTGCCCAGCCCTGATTTTGACAACCACTTGACTGAATTCGATAATTTTTTTTTTTTTTTTGTGAATTCTATGAATTTATAGAATCAAATGAAAAAATGTTTATCGAATTTTATCAAATGGTTGTCGAGATATCTTCACTCAAAGTTTTAATAAAATCAAAACACTTGTCAAAATAGAGTTGCACCAAATTTTTCTTAAACTTTGAGCGAAGATATCTCGGCAACCACTCGACCAAATTCAGTGAAAATTTTTTTGCTTGAATACTATGAATTTATAGAATTTAAATAAAAAAAATTTTAGTCTAATTGTTGTCGAGATATCTTGATTCAAAATTTTGAAATTTTTTATTTTTATCAAGAAATACGATCGTCATCACGTGATCAAAACCGGACACAGATTATAATGTCGCGTTCTTTAGTATAGCTGGGCAATATAGAATTATTATAAAATTATAATAATAAAATAACTATTTAAACTAATTTAAGCAAATTTACAAATAGTTAGGGTTAGGGTGAGTTATAGATTGAATTAGAGTTAGATTAGAGTTTTTTTATTTTATAATCTTATAATATTTCTGTATTACCAGCTATACTAAAGAAGATCCAATAAATACCATATAGTTCCGAAATTAAGCACCCTTTTTTGTTATAAGAGGTGCTTATTTTCGGATATAATTTTAAGAATGAATAATATAGAACTTTTGTACTAAGTCAACTTACCTTCTGTTTCTAAGTAAAATTGTTCCCCAGGTCAAGACGATTCTAACGGCAGTAAAATCATAAAAATTTGTTCAGTAGAACTTTCGCAATACTCTTCAAAATTTGGGCGACGTTTGTTTATATTTGCTTTACATGATCTGCATACTCGTAATCAAAAGTCGCCCGAAATTTGAAGAGTAATTGTGAGAGTTCTACTGAACCAATTTTGATTGGAATCATATTGACTTGGAGAATAACTTTACTTAGAAACAGAAAGTAGGCTTACTTAGTAAAAAATCAGATACTATTATACATAGGGGGTGCTTATTTTCGGATATTACATAAAATTTGATGGTGCTTAATTTCGGAACTATACGGTAATAGTGCCAAGAGAAATATGAGATGGTAAAAGGTATTGAAAGTTAGTTGGATTGAATTTTGTTTGTACCTTTTTAACTAAAAGATCGATATTAATATAAAACGTATTTTTGGAATGCGATTTGATCTTGTGTTAAGTTAGGTAATATATTTTTAGATTTGAGTAGATGATCAATAATATAAACTATATCTCAGTTTTCTTGCTTGATTTGTGTATTGTTAGAGTAAGAGTTTTTTAATTATTTGTATTGCTAAGAAATTATCATTATGTATATGGATATGTAGATTTGGGAAAAAGTTAATACGTAGTAAGTAAATAATTGCTTCTATTTTTGTTCTAAGGGTGTTAGATAAGTTAGTTCATCAAAAAATTTAGGTTAGATATTATTTTCTAGGATCTATTCTAATCCTGTTTTAATATAAGCAACGAAAAGCCATTGATTTTATATATTTATTCCGCATTAGCTGATTGTTTATTATTTTGTATTAGGTAAAGGAATTATTCAAGAATGATGGCATTGTCACATACTTAGTCATTGCTTTTATTTTTTTATTGAATTGAGGCTTTATTGTTGTTGTCAGAATTTAATATTTTGTCAGGATTTCATCTTTTCATTACCAACTCTAAGACACTTTAAAGATGATTTTAATTGCTTTTGCAATTATAAACCATAAAGCGTTAGTAAAAAGGCTTAATTAGCTAATTTTATGCCGATTACAAATCAATTTGCGTAATTTGAAAAAAAGTAATAAAAAAGTGGCTTGATGAAGAGAGTTAGCTCTTTTGAACAGCCACTGTAAATATAAAACAAAAATGACATAATTGAAAAAAATTGATATAAACCACGATGCAGCAATCCTATGAGATATTTTATATTTTAATTGATTATTTGAACATCAAGAAATTATCGTACTATGTTAGCTGAAAGCTCTAAAGAATCTATTGTCAATATGGAAGGAGAAGAGTGGGAACGAGAAGAAATAAAAGAACTATATGTGACCATTAGTCCAAAAGGTGATTTTGTAGTCGAATTGGGTAAGTTTTGCAGAAACTATTTATAGTAGGCATTATCAGATTCATAAGCATTTCTTGATTTATAATGACTATTCAATTCACAGTATTATTGAAAAACGGATCAAACGAATCGAAATTCGAATCAAAATTCAAACTTCGCATGTTTAATGTTTGTAAGAAGTTGAATGAAAACGACCACTCGGATCTGGAATATAATGATGAGTTATCGAACACAAAGCTTTCTTATATCACATCCAAAACATTAAAATTTGCGAAAGAGCAATCTGAGCTGATCACGTCTGAAAACATATTTTGTTGGTGTCAGATAAATTGTCTAACCTCAAGTCATATAAATCAACTGATAGATTATTAGCAATATCTTGTATAATCTTTCATGATATGACACGTAATAAACATATTGAAGGCACTAAAATACCTGGATTTACTATCATTTTCTCTATTAACAAAGATTTTTCAATTGAAAAAGAAATGTCGATAAATGATTATGGTGGAATAATCAAATTGTTTTCAAAAAACGAAGATAACGAAAAGAAAGATAAAGATGACCAAAATACGGATAGAATAATGAAGGTGACCAAAGTATAAATATCAAAAAGACCAATGAGGATAACCTGAATATGGATACCGATGAGAATAACAAGAATATATATGTCAAAAAGACCGATGAGAATATCCAGAATATGGATAAATACTTTCTTATTATTTTTAATGTCTCTGGGATATATAAGTATTATTTTGTATATTTGAATTATAAATCTATTAGTAAAATTCAAAAATTGAAATATCCAAATAGAATAGACAATGCCATGAATTATAATACCAGATTAAATAATTTTTATTCACCCGCACAATTGGAATCGAAATTTCCTCTAGCTAATGCTAGAATGAGATATATTTTAAAATGTTTATATAAACATTATTTTTAGTGGACACTATAAGTGAGGGTGCGCGATATATGGAACTTTATGATTTAAAAACAAACCAATTAGTAAATACCTTTCATAGACAAAATTTATACGAATTAAATTACATGGCGGATTTCCCTGATAGTTTTACAATATCAAACAATAACAAATTATTGGCATATAGATCTGGAAATCAGGTTAAGTTATATTTGATTGAATGCGGCCTTGAACTAACATCTATAGAGCTTAATGCTGCCCCAACAATTGAACTTCACATTGCCTCGTCGTCAAAATATAATATTGACTACTTCATGCGTTTTTTTAACGATGATGAGAAATTATTAATATATCTGCCGGAAAATAAATGGTCAATTTGGAACATTTTCAGTTCAATACAGAAATCAATTAGATTCGAAATTTATGACTTTGTTCTTCCAATTACAGACATTTTCTACGAGGTTGGATATTTCTTTCAGCTGGAACAATCAAATTCTTTTATTGTCGCTGTAAGCAATCATTTCTACAGCAGCAGAAAAATCATTGACAATTTAATCTTAGAACGCTTAAAGAGGAATGATGACGAACAAGACTTGAAAGTTCTATCAGAAGAAGACGATCAAACATCAAAACTACATGAATTTTATAAAATGATTGAGCCTTGGGTTTTTGCTGAAAATCCAAGCCACTCGGTTTTTCTCGATAAAAAAAAGAAAGTTCTACTTTTGATTGGGATGTCTACTGTTCAAATTTGGCACGATCAAGATGAAAAAAGAACTCTTGAATTCATTAATGTGATCAATAAGAATATAGACGAAGATATTTACAAATTCAGTGTTGAAAGAATTGAGTATGGAATCAAAAATTTAAACTTTTAATTAAAGATTCTAAATCATTTGTAGAGGCTGATATTAATGTAATTAATGCTGTAAAGGGGGCTTGTCACACGCTCAAGCATTTAAATCGGATACATCAAATGAAAACATCTGCTTTTTTATTTACCATTGGAGGTCTACCAGCTTTCAAAGAGACAGTCAAACAAATACGAAACATTATTGTAAGATTTGTTCAACTATATCCGACTGTTTGGCGATTATTAGATTTTCGCTTTGAAGCGAAGGAATATTCACTTATAAAGTACATATTATTTAACGAAAAAAAAACTGTCAATGATGTTGATCCAGAAAAAAAGCACAATTTTAAAACCTTTGATTGTCTTGAAATCGAAAAACAGCCTTTACAAGATATAAAGCCAGTTCGCAACAGTTTATTGCATGAAAAATCACTCCATATGCCACAATATAATTCATGGGAAGGTGGAAATACTGTGATCCATAAAGCAATTTCAGATTAGTTTATTTAAACTCATTTTACTTGCTAGATATTAATTTATTAACCATTATTTTATTAGAGGATGATCCAGTAATTCTAGGATATTTTTTAGAATATTATTCAAATAAAGCAGTAGAAGAAATTGGATGGATGATTACAGTTAGTGAAATTCTACCAAAACTATATGATGAGGGGAATAAAAGTTATGGTCAGTTTTACATTTTATATATTTTTCTCATTTAATTTACATGTTGATGATTTCAAACACTTATCATTTTTTATAAAATATGCCCTTTTTCGAATTTCTTGAAATTCCACCGAGCATTAATAATTCTTTAAAAGTTTTTATACCAGTAACACAACTGATTCCACATGATTCAAAATTGAAAGTAGAAAAAATCAGGTAATATTCATGAGATGTTATCACATGTTTTTAATTATTATTAAATTTTAATTAACCTTTACGTAATATTAACACAGCCATGATAAAATACCTAATATTCTAATGGTACCTTTAATCGATTTCACGGCAAATAATAAGGCATCACTGGGAAAAAGAGGAAGTAAATACATGAATATTTTAGCATGATTAAAGATCCATTTGATTGGCCAAAATCTGATCGTCGTTTAATTGGTCAAAATTAGAATTAAATTCCGAT